AAATTTAATGTTGAATTATAAAAGTGAGCGCATTTTAAACTTGACTTAGAATCCTTCTCAGCAATTCCCACCTGAGCACGTTCTAGCTTTGAACTTCTAGCTTTCTTTACTATTTTAAAGACTACCGTTTGGAATAAATTGTTCATAAAACTTTTCTCTGTACAGAATTCTGAGCATATATTTGGTTTCTCTGTACAAGATTCTAAGTATATATATTTTAATATTAATTTTAAATTTCTAGCAGTTAATAGATTTTCCCTAAGTAGGGGAGAGTGGTGTCAATTTTAACATTTTTTACTTAACTATTTTTAACTAACAAAAAGTCCAATATATTATTAGTATTAATTGACAGACGAGTAAAGTAGACTATCCTCTACTAGAAAAAAAANTTTAATATTAATTTTAAATTGCTAGCAGTTAATAGATTTTCCCTAAGTACACAATTCTAAATTTAAGTGTTTCGAAGCACAACAACTATAAGTCCTTTATTTTATCACAAAGTTGTAAAACATATAAAAACCAAAGAAAAGAGTTTAAGAAAATTAGTATAATCATAAAAAGGTTAAAATTAAAATCTTAGGTAGAAAATTTTACGTTGAATGAAATGTTAACAATTCACAATTTCTCTGAGGCAATTCGTAACCTCTAAGTTTTATTTTTCCTATGCACACATTGCTAAATTTCAATATTCAGACATACAACAACTTCAAGTCTTGGAGTTTAGCATAAAGTTTTAAAGAAAAAAGAAATGAAAAATGCTTATATAAACAAAACAAAATTAGAATTATAATATGTAATAATGAAACGGCGTATAACTGCTCTGCTTTAGGTATATGCCAACGAGTGAAAAGAGAAAGTTCATCGATTTTATAACCGTTTTATGTAATATAGGTAGTTACTTTTTATTTTCCCATTAAATTTAATACAAATATCACTTGTAATTGGTTAAATATCCTGAAACTTTGTTCGATTTATAAATTATAAATGTTTACATAGATCGTTTTAACTATAAAACTATAAACTTTTTAAATAATTTTTTCTATAATTATTTTAAATTACATAATTTTTAAAATCATAATTGATATGAAAAGAACATTCACGAAGCTTTAAGGTATACAGCCCATAATATTGGTCTAAAAATTTATCCTAGTTTTGAATCCCCCGTTTAGCGGTGAATCAATTTCAGTTATTTAACCTCAGTTATTTTAAAAATTGCGCAAAACGTCAAAATGGAGAAAAGTCGCAGTTTCATGAAAATGAAAAATATTTGTAGTCTAAATTTTTAATATTTGAAAACTTACTCCACTGCTGCATTACCTGGGCTCATAAAAATTTGCAAAAACTGTAAGTCAGTGATCTTGATAATTTTCATCTAGGTTGTAAAATTTCGCCAAATTGGTGATTTTTAAAATTTTTTAATAACTTTTAAAATATTTAAGTTGTCCGTTCTATAACCCAGATAATTCTTCTCGGCAATATTATATATTGTACATAGTTTAAACTCATCGCATTGCTTCAAGTGTAAGGCACTTAAACTATGGCTTTTTCATTCAACTTGGTGACAAAGCTTCGAAAAACAGTGTTAATTCGTATCCCAATTGAATAATAAGTTTAGTATCGCTGGTAACTTTTTCAAAAAACGTATCAGAAAAGTTCTTTTTGCTCATGCTATTCCATAATTTCTTGTTACTTTGTCTGTTAGCTAATATATGAAACTTAGGTTTCTGTTCTGCGGTGTGTTTAGAATAATTTTAATAAATAGCTGAAGTAATAATGATATAATTAATTACATTATATCCTTTTTTTCGGAAGATAAATGCGTACATTCTAGTCTGCTTCATTTCGAAACTCATCCTGCAATTTTTGAATTATCTGTTGGGGTTGTTCTTTAGTTACATATTAAAACTTCTTTAAAAAAAACTGCACCAATATTACTTAAAAAACTACAACATTACGTTGTTAAAAATAATAGAACTGTTTGAACAAATGTATCAATATTTATCTAAACACGATTAGAATGAATAAAAAAAATACTATGAAAAATAATAATAAATAAAAAAAAAGCAGCGAATGTGCGAACCGTTTTTAATTCATTTTTAATTAAACGCATTTTGTAATCTGGATAAAATTGACTTAGAATAATTTTTTTATTACTTTTATACAATAAATTTGACATTTATTTTAAGAGTCATGTATTAAAGTTTTGTTGATAAGAAAAATTAATACATATTATCTTTTGAATGTTTTTATTCTTCTGATTCTCGTTTGCACAATCAACCTGAATTTTTAAAATATTTACTGTCAGTAATCGTGATATTAAAGTATGCGTAAGACTCAAGCTCATTATCTTTATACTATGAAAAATTATATATTTGCTGAGTGACTATTCTCAGGTTGTTCTTAATTAAGAACGAAGATTCATAGTTACTTATCAATAATTACTAAATACATTTTGTCACATTTGTTATCGTACTTTATAAAAAATCTATTCAAAATTAAATATTGTCAATACATTTCATTTCTTTATGAATTTTAATGCAATTAGTAATCCCTACTTATTACTTTTTTTAAAAACTTAAAATATAGTCTGCACTATTTAATTAAAAATTCTTTTCATTTTCTCGTTGACAAGCCATTGAACTTAATTAGGTATATATTTTATTTCCTCAAGTTCATAGATGTTGTTTAGATTATCATTTTTGCTTGTTTTGCATCTTTAGAAAAACGTTGTGCTCCTCTTATTTTCACTTCAAGTAGTTAAATATAATATATTAAGAATATAACATAATATATTAAGAATAATTATGTTAGTCACGAAAACCTGAGCATTATAATTTTTTTTCCTCCATTGTTATAATAATGCTTGATTTATCCTTTCAAAGAACTGCTGGCATTATCTCATAATTATGAAGTAATCAATTGCAATAAAATGGGTCTTCGCGTGGTTAATTGACTTGATAATTTTTTCCCGTCCCTTTTCTCTAGATTTAATAAACTTCGTCGCACACGGAAAAGTAGTTTGATTAGATTCGTTTAATTAAGACATAATTAGAATATTTCCGCTTTTAAATAAGAAAAGAAATGAAGTTAATAACTCATTACATTAACTGAAAATGTCTGAGCACTTTTTAAAATAACTCTTTTGAAAGTATTTTCTTTTTATAAGACAGAGTTTCATCTGGGAAAATATGTGAAATAATTATTGCTGTTTCAGGATGCTTTGAAGGTTAATCATTTTCTAATTTGCTTCAATTGTGCTATTTTAATTATTTCATACGAAGGAAATTAAAATTATTGACTTATGTGATGCATATTAAGTTTACTAAGTAAATGAATTTTGAATTTGTAATGAAGCTTCTTTTTTCTGTTGCTAATCGAAGAAGGGGGAGGGAGATCATTGTGAGGAGGGGGATAGTATATATTAATGGTTTCAAAATGGCTGCCCTCAAAGTAAAATATACTAATTTAAAAAAAGTTATTGAGAAGATACAAATAAATTTAAAATACTTTCTATTCGCGAATTGATAGATTTCTGTCAATTTCTATGAAAATCAATGCGTCCACTTGGATTTTGTTCACAGCTGACTCGGCGAGTTGAAAGAAATTTCTTTCAGTTATTAGCATAGAGAAAAATGTACAAATTTGTAATATCTTGGTCGGAAAATTACATCTTGCGAATTGATAATATACGTCTTTTTTTAAATTTCATTCATCAGAAATAATACGACCGATTTCGCTTATATCTTGTATGTTGTCAATTAAAATTGCATAAGTTTAAAGTGGAATAAAAATCTGTATAGTATACAATTCAAAATTTTTCGCTCGTTTTCAAATGAAATAATAAAATTCACAAATAAATATAAAAAAGTATCTTAGATTAAGCAAAAAACGCAGAAAAATGAAATTGACATTATAGTCCTAAACATTCAGCCGTTTTTTTTTACTTAACCAGAACGATCATGTTTTTAGATTTTATTGTCGGATATCTTAACTTAAAATATCGTTTGCACTATTTAATTATAATTTTTCAGGTCAGTCCTTTGAATTATTAAGAAAAGCTGTTAGTTCGTGAAAATCGGACCATTAAAACAATAGTTATCAATGACTTTTTTCTTTTCATAGTGTACAATACTAGATTCTTGCATGTTGCATTTCCTGTCTAGAACTACAATCAAATCCACTTGGCCTCGATTCTCGTACTGAATATTTTGTGTTCTTTTGCATTAGTTCCCCACATTTGTAAATTCTAAGGCTTTGTGTAAATTTTATTCTATTCATTTACTTGCTTTAAAAATGACGTTATATTAGTTCAGAATTTTTTTTTTTTTTAATTATAAATTTTAAAATGCAATTTTTTTTCCGGATTTGTAAATTTAATACATGTTTTTTTTTTAATTAACCTAATGAAAGTTGACGGCTCTAAGAAAGTCCCGTTTACTTTGCGGCTTTCTACTGAAATATTGTTTCAATTACATTTCTCATAAACTAAAAACCCCTCATGTATTATTATCAAAGGAATTCATAAAAAGTTTCGTCAATATTTCTCATCGAAATTTTCAATTCAAAATAAAGTAACAAAATTTCTTGAATAAAAAATATAACATCTTTCAATATAACAATAAAATATAACAAATATCTTTTATAACTCTTCTCAACATTTATGGCAATTCTTTTTTGAAAAACCATAATTCAGTTTATTTAATTTATTTTCATCTTATGCGCGCATCAAAAACAAATTCAGATGCCGTTTCAGCCCTGTCAATTAAACTGTCTGAAACCTAATTTCAAGACTATCATTGATAATAACACTGATGATAACATTGATGATAATTTCCAAAATATATAGTAGTCCTTTTTTGGTTAGTATATTCATATCTGCTAATGAACTTTATATATGAAGTCAAGGTTCTTCTAAAATAAGTTCAATCATTTAGGGTTCCATAAATCCTTAAATATTTAAAAAGAAATGTTTCTTTTTTTAATTATTATTGTTTTTGCAGTGTTACAAGTGCTCATGGATACAGTTCAATATGTTGACAATATGAGCTATGGCTCTGGTTCCCAAGGACCAAGTGCTGATTACTGTCATCTTATGGCAGAGCTTAGTAAGATTTATTTTTTTATTACTGATTTACTCTCAACATTTTCTTCTGAATACTAAAATTTGTTTATTATTTATTTTCAGAAACCCAAAATTTTGATGTGATAAAGTTTTCTTCCTATCGTACTGCCTGCAAACTCAGATTCATTCAGAAACGAATTAGTTGTGAGTATAAAATTACTTTCTCCTCATTTTGCTCATTTGATTGAATACAATTGAGATAATTAGATTTTAACTTATCTTAATCATTTATTTTTTAAACAATATATTTTTTTGAGCTTTCTACATATCCTATTGTGTACTCTTTTAGCCTTCATCAGAGATTCTGTCTGTTTTTACATCTTAATGCTTTTCCAACTTTTTATTCTATCTTTATTAACGTTTTTCTCACTTTCAAAATTTAACATTTTGTTTTATGCCCAACTTCCTAGCTGGCAATTTTTTACCAAAAATCATAAAACATAAACATTTCCCCATTATGTGAGCATATTACTAAAGTCCAGTTCTTTTTCATCCTATTTTCATTTGCAAGAAAATACTAACCATAAATCAGACTTTTAGGTATGGAATCCTATTTTGTCTAGACTTTTTTTATTTACTGTAAAAAGTTAAAATAGGCAATTGAATTAGCAAATTTCTATCACCTATTTTATTTAATATTTTAATGAAGTGGTTGAAAAATTCTTGTGTCTGAAAATGCCTAAATGTTTTTCTTTGCTTATTTTGTTTAAAGTGAGGTATAAGAATTTTCCTAATTACATATTTTTCATGCTCATTTATTTCTGTAGTGCATTTGGTTGATATTTGGAATGTGATTGAAGCTTTTCGAGAAAATGGAATGAACTCGTTGGAACCTCGAATAGAGATAAATATTCCTCGACTGGAAACCTTAGTTACCTCGATATACTTTCAATTGAATAAGCGCCTTCCTGCGGTCCAGCAAATAGACTTAGACCAATGTACTTCGTTGTTGCTCAACTGGCTCCTTTCTGCTTACGATCCGTGAGTATTTCATTGAGAGAAAAAACTTTATCATAAGGTGTTTGAAAAGAACTTTTTTTTTCATTGTTGAGAAAGTTTACTTCCTTGACTTTAAACAAGTTATTAAACTTTCTTCAAAAGAATAATAATCTGTAACCAGGGGTCTGTCCAGGCCGAATTTACTACCGTTTAGCGGTACCTTCACAAATTCAACTTTAGGAAAAACGGTAGTTTCACAAAATACTTTTTCTTAAAATTTTACTTATGTATCCCTTAAGAAACGATAAATCCATATTTTGACCATATTTTTGTGCTGATTTTTTTAAATAATTTTTAATTTTTCTCAAATTATGTCAAAATTTTCACAAAATAGGTACCTACCTCTCAGAAAAACTTAAACAGACCCCTGGTAACATTTAATATAGTTTTGTAGAAATCTGTGCTGTGCATTGAATTTTTTATTGCAAATATAAAACTTTAATTTTTTTTGACATTATTTCACTTAAAAAAAATTTCCTCTGAATTTTGTTTAAAAAATTCTCTTNTTCATCATTATCTCGTAAAATATAATATCTGATGAAATATAGTTATAACATATATTTAGCAAAGGGATTTTACAATATGAATTTCAAATATTCTTAAAATTTTTAGTCATACTGTTGCTAGTGCAATGTATTCCAACTGTTAGCAAATTTTAAATTATTTTTCTTTTCTGAATATCTTTCTTTTGTAAGATAAATTACTTTTTAGAAGCTACTATTAGTTGTATATAAAATCCATCAGAGGTTTTAATTGGGAAAAACATTTCAGTACACAAACAATATTTGGTATACTATAAGTTCTTTTCCCTTCAATCAAAAAAACTAATAATAATTAAGTTTCATTTTAGAATCCTTTTTAATATGTATTTTTGATAAGAATTTTTAATACGCTAGATTGATAATTCTTTTAATAATAATTTTTAAATCTAAACTTAAATGTTACTATAATCTTTTCACGACAGAACATTTAAGTTATAATTTTTTTATAATTTCATTTTCAGAGAAGATACTGGTAAAGTTCGAGTTTTTTCCATTAAAATTGCCTTAGCTACAATGTGCTCTGGAAAACTTATGGATAAACTTAGATGTAAGTAAAATTTTGATATGAATCATTCATTGGTAAAATGTAGATTTTGTTTCTAAATTAGTTTGCAATTATAGTTGTGTGTCAACACATCATATCACTGTGTATGTATATAAATACGCATTTATAAATTAAGAATAATAATTTTGCTTCTGTACTAATTAATCAAATATATTTTCTTGCCGAAATGTTTCTTTTAATATTCAGATGTAAAGACCAAAGGAATTTTTTTTTTTCAAATTTCCAATTATTGCTGTAGATTCCAATTTATTATATTTTATTATCAAACTTAAGCTAATAATATTTTGCATGCTAGACCGTTATATAAATTATTCCATTTTTATTTAATATTATCAATTTAATTAAATTAATTAGTTGATTCGATTTAATTGTTTGGTGCACATTACTTCATATTAATTAGGTAATTCCATTTTTTGTATCTGTTTACCAATTCAATTTATTGAATTTTTTAAATTGAGAAGGTTTCGTTTGTCATTTTATAAATGTATTAAAAAAATTTTTTTCCAAATATTGAGTAAAAAATATTTTATAAACGTAGTGTGTTTAATATTATTTAAAATAATTTTCTTTTTTTAAATTAAATAGTTTATTTTGCTTTATGATTTAAACTATGCGGTTATTGTTTGTTTGTTTTTTTTAATCTTTTTTAAGTTGTTTTGAGTTTCTTTAAATTATTTTTATTGTACTGATTCATAGAAAAAAATGCTGACAAATTTTCTTAGAGTTTTTTTGTTTTAGGGCATCGTCTTGCTTTGTTTTTTTAATAAAATTTCTTACTTTTCATAAAATTATACTTCGATTAGAATTTCAGTGAAGTTTTCAAAAATATTACTCTCTTTCGAAGTTTAAGGATTTTAAAAAGGTTTAACAATGTATGTTCCATGATTCGAAATTTTGAATTATTCAGAATTAAATATTTATTTTATGATTGCTGCATTTTAATTATTCAGAACACAAGTACATTTTCTTTTATTTGCAGATATATTTTCTCTTATTTGTGACAATAATGGTCTCCTAGTTCACAGCAAGTTTGCAGACTTCCTGAGAGAAATTTTACAAGTTCCATGTTCTGTTCATGAATCGCCCACTTTTGGTTATCGTGATAATCTTCCCTCTACTATAATTGATGGAGTATGTACCTATTTTCAATTAGCAATTAATTTAAAGTTTTTTGTAATTTGAAATAAATAAATTATTATTAAATTAATATTGATTTATATGATCCCTTTCCCCTAAAAAGTAGTAAGATTTCTTTCTGTAGAAAGTTATTTAAACATATAAAAGAGTAATATTACTCCAAGAACTATATAGCAATCTTAACTTTTTTAAAATGTCATGGTCGTAGTAGTGTAGTTCCTATGTTTTAAAAATGATATTAAAAGAAAGTTTCTAATTTTAAAAATTAAAAGAAAAATAAACTGCTGTTAAATATTTCTCTCTTTTATCTTATGAAGAAAATTTTTGCACTTAACTTTTTATTGAAATCTCTATTCAAAATTCTCTATTTTTCACAGATATTCTTTAATTTTAATGTTTGCCTTATAACTTGTCACTTTTTTTTACCTTATTCTATAAAAATAAATTATAACTATTAAAAAAACAACATATTTTTCATAGCGGACATAGTTTCAGAAATTTAATTCTTTTAAATTTGTAGATTTATCACGACTTAGTAACATTTGTCTTTATTTGTATTTAAAAAATTATTTGAAAGAAGAATTTAATGGTGAAAATATCTAATCTTTTTTATATCAAACTCACGTTATTAATGATTTTTATTGTTGTAATTAATAAGAGATACTAAATTTTTATTTTACGTATTTATTTGTAAAGTTATCTTTTATTTGTATTTATTTGTAAAGTTATCTATTAGTTTAAGATCTTTTTCATTAATACTTAAAAGTTTAATATTAGGAAATAAAATGTGATATTTCAAATAGAACATGTTATTTCTTTTTGAAAAGATGTTTTTTTTATTGTATTAAAATAGTCTGATTGTTACTGGCACTAATTCACTGTTATAATTTTGCTTTAAGTAGCTGCCTTATATATTCATTTCTTTATTTTTAGATGAACAAAGTAACGGTCAATGATTTTTTAGACATCATTATGTCTGATCCTGCTCCAGCATGCATTGTATGGTTACCTTTATTACATAGACTTGCTAGTGTAGAAAATGGTAAATAATTTTATGATAATCAATTGTTTAACTTAAATGATATTTACAATTTTGGTTATTTTATGATGATCAGTCTCATTAAAATGGTAATTATACTTAGATCTAATTAGCAATCCAACTCAAAATATGCATGCATGCTCTTTTTCTTTCTTTTTGTTTACTTATTTTCAGTAGGGTATATAAGCCCAGGGCTATTCAAAAAGATGCTAATTTAAATTTGTATTTAATGAANTGAAATATTTTGCTGTTTTCCATTTTTTAAACAAGTTTGATACTAAAAAAAGACACTTAATATTAATATTTTTCTGGTTATTATATTATTTCTTTGCAAAGTACATATCATAGCATGATAATGAGTTTCAGTTGATAAAACTTTAAATAAACGCAAATCACCGTAAATTACAATTCTGTTAACTTCTTTTAAAATGAAAAGATTTTAATTTGATATTATCATGTGCGAGTTGAACCTTTCTGATTTCTTTATTGGGTTTAATTTTTTTCCCTTTGGGCAAAACTGAAGTTGGTATAAAATTGAAATTAAAGTTCACCAGCATTAAGTTCTTGTGTATAACTTTTTAATATTTTCACATTTTATTAAATATTAGATTTAGCTTAATTTTTAGGATAATAATCTTTGTCTAGCTGCATTGAAATCGCAGCCAAGTTTGAATTCTTGAGGATAGTGTTGCAGATTGAATTAGTAAATTCTGCTACCGGTATCATAAAATAGGTACCCAAAGCATTATTTAAAGTATACCTTCCTTCTATTACGCAGCTACACAAAAAGTGCTTTAAAGGAATACATTTTATTTCAGTCTAATCTAGTTCATTTTGATTATTGTATCCTATTTATTATGTGCAGTTACCAAAAACATTTTATTAAATACTAGAGAGGCATTGTTTGAGAAAATATCTTTAAATTTATTGATTATGTATATTATTTAGTGAATATTCTGTAATGGGTTATTTATACCTACATTAAATTATTTCATGTAAATTACTTATAAAAGAATTTTTATCTTTATTAGTATAAAAAACCAAAAATATAAAAAGTACAATTTGATGCAAATTTTAAGTAAAATTTCAGAAGATGCATATTTTGTGAAATTGTGGAAAAAGATATAAATAAATAACCGAATAAAAGTATCAGTTTCAACACATGATATAGTAAAATATATATATACTTCTCATTTTTTCATGATTTTCTTTCATATTCTGATTATATTTGCATTGTATTGTGTAGCTTTCAAAAAATTTTCCACATAGTAAATTTTTAAAAACAATTTTGTTTTTGACCTTGTATTTTTACACAGATAGAGTGTAGAATTATTATAAACATTTTATTTATTTACACTTGTAAATGAATGTGTGAGTTATTCTAAAAGTAATATTACCTCTCTTGTTTTTAGTACTGCATCCTGTACAATGTGATGGATGTAACCGTGAAGCATTTTTAGGCTTCAGATATAGATGTCAGAAATGTTATAACTATCAGCTCTGTCAGGATTGTTTTTGGAGAGGTCGTGTATCTGGAAGTCATACTAGTCAACATGAAATGAAGGAATATACCTATTATGTTAGTACACTTACAAAAATATTTCTCCTGTTTTAATTTCATTGTATTTTAAACAAATATGGAAATCTCTAACTTTAAATTGTTTGTCAGACAATTTCGATGACCTTAAATGCATGAAGTATATTTTTAGTTGCAACTAACTGATTTGTTTCCTTCTCTTTATTGTTACCAAAACTGCATTACTGTATTTTTGTTTTTTTTGTCTTGTAATTATACATTACTTCTGTTTTCAAAAGAGTCATTAGCATTGAATGTTCCCATGTATAAAGTTTCTTTTGGGTATGTTATCAATGGATTTATAATCCAACAATTAATAACAAAAAGAAACTTAATACAAACTTCTTTTTCTATTATTAAGTCATTCTATCGAACCATCTTTAATTTGAATAAGTAGAAAACATCCATGACAAATATGAATTTTCATCACATAGCCAGTGACGAAAGATTTCTCAATACAATATTAATTGTTGTTGTCATAGTCCGTTAATGCAAAGGGAGCGATTGTTGTTGTTTTCCAACGGAGCCATCTATGGTCAAGAATTTCACTTCTGCTACACCCATATCTCACATGGTTTTATAGGGTGGACCCATTCATGCATCCATTTATTCATTTACAGATCGTAATTTTGATTTCAACCAGAGAACGATCCATCTCCAATTCAGTACCCCCAGAAGTACAATTTGTTATTTTAACATGGAGGACTTTGTGACACTACAGATTTAACGCACCAGTCACCAATTACTGCATAGGGAATTTGGCTAGCTGGATTCAAACTCCCATCCTCACGAAAGTGAATTTATGACCCTGCCAACAAGGATATCCCGCCCCAATTCTATGAATTGAAATTAAAATATTCATGTTAAAATCAAAGTTGCTATTTTTTGGTGTCCTTTTTGGATCCAACAGTGGTAGATAAACGTTGTTCATATGAATGATATTTTAACTTTAATAAAAAATTTGCATGTTTCATACTTGCTAAACTTTTATCGGAATGACAATGACTCACATTGACGTTTTGACTCACTTTTCCATAGGTACTATGCTTAGTCTCTCATAGTTTAGTTGCTTCAATATATCTCTGCAAGTTCTTCCTGTTGGGATTGTTGTTGTTGATGTATGCCTGTTTAGACAGAGGGGGTGTGATTGTTCTTGTTTTCCAGTGGCGCCATCTATGGCCAAGAATTCAACTTCTGCCACACCATATGTCGCACCCGTTTATAGGGCGGTCCCATTCATACATCCACAGATCGTAATTTTGACCTGAATCTGAGAATGATCGATCTTCAATCCTGTACACCGAGAGGTATTGATTTGTTATAGGAACATGACTCATGGGAACATGACTTTTGCGACTCAACAGATTTAACATGCATCAGTTACTTTACTACACGGGAAAATTCGGTCAGCGGGGTCCTGGTCATTAGGGCCCAGCGCCCTAACGACCAGGCTATCCCGGCCCCCTCCTTTTGAGATTACAAGCTACAAATTAGTACATGGATGAAAAAAAATTTTAAAAAACATTTATGTGTAAAAATACATTATTCGAGATATTTAAGATCAAAACTTCATAAAGATAGGGTAACGATTTAAAGATTAATTCCTTAACTTTTTAATGGCAGCTGGAATTTTCCTTTACTAAAAAAAGGTAGTCATTTCTATGTATTGATGCAAGTTTTTTTTGCCAAAATTTTAGTTTTTAACATGTTTATAACTTGGACAATCTTGAATTTAAAAATTGGTGGAATTACTCACTCTCAGCAATTTACCTTAAAATTGAGCATAGGATTGATCTGATATGGATTAACTCAAGTTTTTACTTATTGCTCACAGTTTTTTTTTATTTTTTAAATCATCTATTGAAGAAGATTATGTTTTTTTTTTTCGTAAAAGTTTTGTTTTTATTTTCTCTTAATTATGTCAATCTCTGAGAAGACTGATAATTTGTGTGCAATACTTCTTAATATGAATGCTTTATATTTTGTAATACTTTATTTTTTCCCCTTAAATTAAAAGACATATAATTCTAAGAGTTAAATAAAAAATAAATGTAAGAATTTCAATTTGATCATTTAATAATTCAGTAATAAAGTATAATGTAAATCTAATTTCCCTTCTTAGTTTCTATAATTATGATTTGGTTTTCTCATTGATTGGTGTAATCTCCTAGTATACCAAAATGCGTTTTAGCACTTTAATGTTTAATATATTTTAATTTTATTTTTTCATTATGTCATAAATATTGGATTAATTTCTTAAATATTTTTATGTGAAAAATTAGAAATAGTTTTATTTTTTACCCGTATGTTTTTTAAAACATTTATTTGGTAAAGGATGGTGTTAGGAAAGTTACATGTGCAAATATGTTGTTTTTTTCATAAATTATAGTTCAGAAACGAAATTTATTATTATTAAGCATTGATAAGATGTGGGGGAATATAAGATAAATTATCTTTTCAGAAATCTCCAAGTAAACAACTGGGCCATTCCTTAAAGAAATCTTTTAGATGTGTTCCTGAGAAACAAATTGCCTCTATACCAAGATTTCCTGAAGAACCTGAAAGAACTTTAAATTTACAACACATTGTGTAAGTTTGTTGAATCTCTCTATGAACAAATAACAAGAACTGTCTTAAATACTCTAAAAATATTCTTTGTGTTCATGTTTCATTTCTGTGAAGAAAAAAATCTTTATTACGATGCCTAAGGAAATAACGACAGAATAAATAATTGTTGTATAAAATGAGCTTTATTTTAACAATTTTGTTGAAATTTATTGTTAGGAAATTAGAGTAGAGTGTGTCAGGCTGTGTAAAATCCAAGCTGTGTGATACTTTATTATTTATCTCTCACACAAATCATAAAAAATTCAGAAGCTACGAAAACATCCCATTTAATTTTGCATTTAAGTTGCGAATATGTAAATGTAGTAAATTTTAATGATTACATACAAATATATGATAAAAAGTGTTATGCAAATGAAATTGAATTTGATTGTGTTTCTTTTTTGCAAGGTGTTCCTTATTATTGTGCACAATGCTAACCACTTTTTTCATATTCATGCTGTTGGTTGTCCCAAAACCGTGGAATAATAATTTCTACTACCCCTTGGTACACAGTAAACTGTTGTGGGAATTCTTGTCATTTTTTTTTTAATTATTATTTTCATATAATGTAAAGCATAAAACATTAAAGTATTCCGATTCTATTAATTCTTTAACCTTTAAACACAACATTATTTGTACATTGATTTTCAACATTATTGAAAGTACTCTGAAATTACTCATTCTTACATTATTGAAATTACTCAATGTGAATTCAATCTCTTAATTTTGAATAAAAATGTGAGAATTTAAATAAAAACAAACAAATTTTAAAGCATGTTATGTTTGTTGGCTTAAACAGTACTTTATCAGGGAATTCACTGCTTTGCTAACATGCTGACCTTAAATTCTGGTCTTCATTTTTGTTTCATTCAATTTTCATACTTATATTAGAATACATTAATTATGTTTTGTAAGTACTGAAAAGTTTTTCAAAATGTGAAATTTGTATGCTGTAAGGATAAATTATGCTATAAGTTACATAATTACTAATGAAATAATAAATCAAATTAAATTTTGAAAATATTGAATGTTTTAATTTTTTTAATGAATTAATTGATAAAATACTTAGTTTTTAAATAACCCAATCTTTTTCCCCCTAAGGCCTCCATCCCCCATTCCCAGTCATAATGGTTTTCATGATGTCACGAGTAACTCCTTTGATATGTCTTCATTAGATGGTAGATCAACAACTAGGAGGTAATTTCTAAGTTGGTTTCTGTTTTTCTTTAGTGTTTTAGTTACTGGTTAAGTTCATCATAAACATTTTATTTTTTTAGCCTAGAATCTAACAGAGTTGATGATGAGCACCGGCTAATTGCTAGGTATGCTGCGCGATTAGCTGATACCAGAAGTACAGTAAGCATTTAGCTCTTATTTTTTAAATGGCAAATTATTTTGAAAACTGCTTTAGGGTTGTATAATTTTTCTCTCAAAACTTTTTCAAACAAATTTTAAGTCATATTTTGAAATAAAATATTTTTATAAATAGTTAATATCCAATCAATACAAATGTGTTAAAATATGTTTAAAAGTAAGCAAATCAAAAAGCTAACATAGTGATGATAATTGATATCTAATTATTTTCTACGCTACTTCAAATAATTAGTATACACACATTTTACTTTAAAACAGTGTTTTAAAAGGTATTGTTTTCCATGTCATTTTCCATTATAAAGGGTTCTTTTTGTTGTCATTTTGGTGGTATTAAAATCTGAAATTTAAAAAAATAATTTTACTATTTATTCATTTAATGGTGGAATAACATAATTTCAACTATAAGAGTAGAATTTTATGCAACATAATTTTCTTTTATGCATTAACAAAATCAAATAAAGCCACTATTGTAGCAGATCTAAGCAAACTCAAATAATTTTCAAGAACAAATGAATGATATGAAATGCTTATCAATCCGAATAATTTGAAATTTTGTTTTAGATGCGAAGTCCATCAGACCTCAGCTTAAACATGGACACAACTAGGCAGCGTGATCTTATTGCTCAACTTGAAACAAAAAACAGGTCTGTAAGCAATTTTTCTTTTTTAAAAATACTATTAAAATAGGTTTCAATATTCAATTGTATAAAAAAAAAATGTTGCACTCATCGACTAAAGAAATCTCTTATTTTTTGTAGAGAAATAATGAGGGAGATTGTTCGCTTGAGAAAACAGCAGGAACAAGAGGATGCTGTATTACAAAATGAACAGAATCCCACTCTGCTTAACGAATTAAGGGCTCTTCGGCAGAGGAAAGAAGAGTTAGAAAGTCATCTTTCAACTCTTCAAGAGAGTCGAAGGGAGTTAATGGTGCAGCTGGAGGCTCTGATGAAAATGCTCAAGGTATAGAAATGTTTTGACAATTTACATTGGTTTATTACAATGAAATAGATTATTGTAATTAAAATCATACATTAAATCATGTGAAAGTGAGAGGTTCTGCTCATTTCTCTTCCCTATCCTCACATTTTCTTTGTAACATTTTTTGTTTCTTGATTATGAACAGATTGTTTAGATCAATATTCAAATGAAAGATGTTCTAAAATTTTTATAGTTTCACAAATTTCTTTTAATTATATTTTAACTAATAATTTTCTCAAATATCATTTTAAGTTTTAACAAACTTTTTTTTACAAAAAAATAATTGTTGGTTTTTTAAAAACTTTTTTAATACTTTTTGCCCAGGAGATTGTTTAGCTATAGTGCAAATAGTTAATTTTTAACATTGCTTTATAATTTTTAATACTTATTTTGATCTTATTATCATCATTTTAACTTCATATATTGAATGAGTGCAGTTTTTTATAAAATTGACTATGAAAGTAAATGTAACTCATTTACTGTTTGATAATTGTAAAATGCTAACTGAATAACTCTGTTATAAAATATTGCAAAATAAGGTAATATCGTGAGATTATTTATATAAAATAAAGGAGCAACTCTTGTAGTTTATTTTTGAATAAAAATCACAAATGTAATAATAATAGAAAATAATATTAAGATGAGGCGATAAATAAGTATGACTGATAAATACTGTTGTAATATTTTTTTAAAAACTTTTATGCTGATGTCCGCCTAAGATACCTGGACTTTCTCTTTTATCAATGACGCTATCATGTTTGTCTTTTGTCTAATGTAGATGCGAGAAACAATAAGACCACATTATTTTTAATGAAATGTAGAGATTTGCTCTAATTATTTCACTGGGGATATAATAAGACTTTTTTTTTAAGTTGTATCGTTTATACTGTTTCTAATTATACTGTAGTAATGATTATGCATAGTTACTGTAATAAATAGAGATATCAATTAAAGAAGAAGCTTTGTGATTTGATATAAATAAATTTTAAGTATTTGAAACTTTCAGAATCATCAGACGTCCCCAAGATCTACACCAAATAGTTCCCCCCGTTCGGCTACATCGAAATCTCCACCACTGTCTACACCTTATCCTGTTTCCTCTTCTCGCAGTGCCCCAACTACTCCTCCCACATCAGAAGGTGCTCCTAGTGTTCCCAGTAATGTGACAGCAAATTATGATCAATCAGGAAGCACAAGGAGCTTAAGAAATGACTTGTTAGTTGCAGCTGATTCTGTCACAAATGCTATGTCATCACTAGTTCGAGAACTCAACTCGGGTAATACATGTTTGAAATTCAATTTAAGTTACATTTGTGGAGTTGTAAAATAAAGAAGCATTTCTTGTATCATTAATAACGCAATTGTTTGGTCCTGAATCAAATGGATCATACTATTATGGTAAGGTAGTACTAAGAAAAAGTACTGTAGATGCATATAACTTTCCATTAAATAATCATTAATCTAGACTATATGTTTCCTTATATTTTTTGAATCACTACCCTTTTCTGTGACAAAAATTTTAAAATTTTCAGTGTTAATAGTTATTGGAATTCACCATTTGCTAAATACTTTAAACATTTTATTTAATTTTATATATGATTCGGGATTAACTTCGATTATTAAAAATAATTAACCAGTTATTAACTTTACTCATAATAATTCCATTTCACCTGTTGAATCTTTTAACTTCAAGGACCTTTTTTATTAGTATACTACTGGACAAACATAAAAATGTTCTTTTCTCATACTTTTTTGATTTTAATAACATTCTTGATATCGAGTTTGAATACCGACATAACATCGTTAATTTCTGCATTTTTTACTAATTTTATCTTCAACCGTGAAGATATTTCTCTGCAGATTATTGTCTTACCACAAGGTACTAATTTCTCAAGTATTATAGCTAACCTTTCTTATGACATTTTGAAAAAAATGCTGCGATTTCCATTTGGAACAACTTCAGATTTGTTGATGATTTTATTAGATTTAATTGTATAGATTTTATTAATACTGCAAGCATAATTTATCCGGAGGAATTAACTAATCATTCTAATGTATCTTCAGATTTTCTTGATTTATTCATTACATTAAACTTGTCCAACACTCAAATTTTGATAAAATAAATTACTTTCCAATTATTATCCACCAGATAATTACCAGATATTTGAAAAAAACAAAGGACAATCATTTTAGACTTCCTAGGGTTAATTTTTTCTTATGAGACAGCAAGCAAAGTGTGGATGTTGTTTTTACTATAAAACTGTTTAATATTGTTTTGACCGCTTTAATAGTGTTTGAGTGTTGAACGTAACACACAGTATTCATACTTACTTAAATAAAACTTAATAAAAAAATTTTTTGAATTTTTTAAGTGTTCTTTGTTTAGCCAACGTTTTTTCTTATTTTTTTAGTATAAGATATGATACTATGCACTTAAATTTCTTTTTATTTATAATAAAAATGCTTTTTTAAAATGTAGTTCACTAAAGCAACATTATTGTGTTATATAATTCAATTCTGCAACTCAAAGATGTTTTTTTTTTCACATTTTGTTCTATACCAGGGGTGGCCAAGCTCCTTAATAGTTGAGCCATTTTTCAAAATTTGGAATTTTTCGCGAGGCGCAATTAAATATGTATTTAAAAGATAGGCAAAAAAGGTATGAAATTTTTTTTACGGAAATTATATTTATTGAAAACATATAAATAAAAGTACAAAATATGTATATTGAATTTAAATATATTAAAAATTAAACACATTTATTTTACTTCTCTTGATAATTCTTTAAAATTTGTTGAATAATTGGTGACAGCACTTCTCAGTAATTCTTTGAGATGCTGGTTAATTATACTGATCGGTGTTAAGATTTCACGAATTTTGAAGTGGAATAAAATGATTCGCATAAATATGTTGTCCCGAATATTGAAATAATTCGATAAGCAGCCTTTTTTAATTCAGAATACTTTGATTCTGGTACAAATTTCCAATATTCAGTAATCAACATCGACTTATATTTTAATTGTGGAGCTTGATCTTCTTGCATTTCTATTAATTTTAATTCTCCAGATGCTTTTTGGGTCATTATTATATTGGAAATGGAAAACACTCACCTTGAATTATGTTAATTTCAAAGAGCTTCAGAAAAAAAATCAAGAGACGATTTAAGATATTTCAAGTCTTGAAATCTATTTTGGGAATTCCGTCAATATTCCTTCTAGCTCTTTTATATAGTCGTTCAGTTTTTATTATTTAACATTGAATCAAATTTTTTTTAATTTCCCGAAAATAACAAAATGTTTTATTTTTAATGTCCTTTTGAAAAAATTGTAATTAAGTTTAAAAACTAAATATACATTGTGAGAGGTCAGATATTATTTTATCTTTCCCCTGCAATTGTAAATTCTGTGGTTGCAAATGTTCCATGACATCAGTTAAAAACATTAAATCTTGTAACCACTCGTCATCGTCTAATTCTGAATTTCCTTTTATTTTAGAAATGCAATTATCGGATCAAACAAATCTACAAAACAATTTCGTATGTTGTAGCTAGATAACCATCTAACAATGCAAAAGAAATTAATGTCATTCAGAAGTTCTTCGTCCTTCAATTCTTTATGGAAATTTTTTGCATTGGTGCAACTGTAATTTACAATGTGTAACACTGTTTTTATAGCATCAGAGTATTTTAAATATTTTGTAACGAGATGTTCTCGGTGAATTATGCAGTGAATCGGTATGAATTGTGGAATTTGAGAATCATCTCTTAAAATCCTAATGAGACCGATTTTTTTACCCAGTATTGCCCGAGCTCCATCAGTTGCAATGCTTACAAGTTAATTAAGAAGCACATTAAAAGTTTTCATTATGGAATCTAATGCATTTTTAATATTGAAACGCGGGTTGACTCTTGAAGTGCTATTAAATCTAATAACTCTTCGTTAACGATGAAGTCAGGTGAAACAAGATGTAAAAAAACTGCCAATTGCAGAAGATCTGTGATGTCTGTCGATTCGTCAAGGAACGATAATAATTTTGTTAAAATATAATAGCACAAAAATGAAACAGGAACTCGGGTACATTTATCGAGAGCCACAAATAATCCTTCAAAAAGCCGTAGGTTGGCCACCCCTGTTCTATACATTGAAACTAATGCAGAACAATTTAATGTCAGCTTTTAATGTCAAAATTTTGAAATAATGCTTTTATTTTAGTGAGCTAGTTAGTATCCACAGACAGATATTAAGGTAGTTCAAAAAATGCACCATAAGTTCACTGCTTTAAATTTTTTGACATGAATTATTTATGAATAGATTTCTTGTATCTGTTCATAAATAATCATAATAATATCTATTCATGCATAGATTTCTCTTATATTTTGTCACAAAATTTAATTTAATGTATTTAAGTATTAAAAAATTTTTTTTAAGTAGAACATTAGTAGTTTAATAGTTTGGTTTTCAGATTCAATTTATTTTATTTTTATATTTTTATTTTTATATTTTTATTGTTCTTGGTTAAAACGCATTTCGAATTTCATTTTGTAGAACTTTTAGAACATTAATTACTGTTTTGTAGTTTAAGCAGAAAAGTTTGGAAAAGAATTTTTTGTAATTTATTCTTTTTTTTTCCCTACATATTTTATTCATTTTAGGATCTGAAGATGAAGATGGTAATCTGGATAGTAAAGCAATGAGCAGCAGTCGAGGTTATTGACTCTTTTATTACCTTCACATATTCTTCAGAACTGTTTATTTTGCAAGGAAGTTACTTAATTTCATTTTTCTCTAGATTTTGAAACTGAGGATACTGAAAGTGCGGTTGAAAGTTTAGAAGGCGGCGGTACACTTTGGCGCGATGAACGGTTGAGAGCTCAAGAAAATCACTTCTTGCAAGAAATCCAGGCCCGCAACAATTTATCTTCGTCTGGTCTTGGCGATGGAAAAATTGTTCAAGAAGAAAATGACCAAGAGATCTATGATAATGACCCAAGGGTATGTATTCAATCACCAGAGAAATAATATGAGTTGCAGATATTGAAACTGATAAATAACAAACTATTTTATATGAAAAAATTTTTATATTAGAGTATTTTACTCCCGAATATTATTTATTTTTGTACTGTAGGTAGTGTGAATTATTCACTGGGGCTTAAATCCATTTAGTTTTTTTAAACCTAGGAATTAAAATAGTTGTTCAATTATGATTTGTTCTATAAAACTTACAATAAAAAAATCCAATTTTTTAAATATGGGGCTGAAAAAATAATTGAATCGATGCAGAATCGACTCAAAGCCTTAATCGAGACACGAATTCTTACCCATCCCATGTATATCATATGTCATATTAAATTACATACAGTATTTGTCAAAGCTGTGTAGTTTTTGCTTTATGTTAAGACATTAAATGATTTATGCTTTGAACATAAATATTTCTTCCCTTTTGGTTTACTCCCTTACAAATATTAAAAAAATATTTAATTTTTCAAAATATTTTGTTTAAGACATTCAATAGTTTTTAGTTCAAGTATAATAGTTAAATATTAAGTTAATCAAAAGTTAATAGTAATATTTTAGTTGTTGAAATATTTTTGACCTCATAATAAAATTTTAAACTTAAATTTTATTAGGAAAAAAATATTATATTTATTATATGATACATTTTGTAATCTTATCCTTAACTAGTAAGGCTTCTTTTTGCTTATCTATTAAGCTTTTTTTTACTTAACTATAAAAATTTTACTGTATATTAAGTTATACTAAAAATATTAAAAACATTAATTTAATGTTTCTCATATGGAAAAAAGGAGTAAAACAAAGTAAATATTTCCTTCTCAATTTTCAAATAAAACTTTAATAAAATATTCTTTCTGTACAAACTTTATAGTTCGATTTGATTTTCTTATTATTTTTCAGATCAATTCATTTGCATTCGTTAGAGATTTTTCCTTAATACAATTATTCATTTTTCTAGAATTAAGAGAAGGTAGTTTTGTTCTTAATTAATTTTAGATTTAAATAACTACTATAACTTCTTATGAGACTCTTGTAAAAAAAAAACTTTTTTTTTTAACTCTTTGGTTATTCAGACTTGACTACCATTTTGATATTCCATAAATCTTTGGTCGATGCTGTTCAAACACTTGCAAATTTATAAGATAGTCCTTGTGGTATTTTTCCAAAAGAAGTAAACTATTATCGATTTTTCCACACATGAATTAGCACTCATAAATATGATAAGTTTAGGAATGTTATTGTTCCATCTGAAAATGAAATAAAGGAATACAGATCATTAGAATAAAGGACTTGGAACAATCTTTTTATTAAATCATTAGCATAATTGAGAAGCTTAGTTTCTTCATATTTACTTCATTCTCAGTGATATTTTCTGTGCAAAAAATTATTAAAAAGTAAATATCATACTTGGATATTTTTAGTGAAAATAAATTTAATTTTGTTATAATTTTACACGAAAAAGTTTATGAAGAAAAAACGAAAACATTTTCAATAATGAATAGCATTAAAATGGTGTTGAATAATTCTTTTTTTTATACATGAAGACAAGTTGAAACTTGAAATAATTATTTGTGGTTCTTTATAACGATATAAATTTCAAAATTGTACATCTTCCTTGGATACTTCTATAATACACGGTATTTTATTTATTGATTGGTTACTTTTATGAGATAATAAAAATTAAACAACCCATATTTTCTCAAAGTAGATGGTGGCTATCACAGAAAGTTTTATGTCAGTAAATCAAATAAAAGTAAATAACTTAAAGTAAAGTGTACAAAAAAAATAATGAAATTTTTTGATCATGCTAACTTGAGGATCTGTTTTGGCTAAATAGAAATTTGATGTTTACTTCATTTTTTTAATTGTAGTATAAAAGTACTTGTCAATGAGCATGCTTATTAAATTTCGTAACTTTTTCATAATTGGTATCATTTTGAAACTGACGTAATTTTTCTTTGATTTGATTTACTGACGTAAAGCTTTTTATAATTTATAAGGGATATCCTTTTTTTTATTTGTAATTGCATGTCCTATGAAAAAAATTTATTTTTTTCATCAACTTCTAACACTTTTATTTCAATTTTATGTTTTCTTAATTATGGGAAAAGAATTTAATGACATCAGATTAACTGATAATATTTTCAACATTTATTAAGTTCATTTGTAAAATGTATAATTTTTAAAAAACTTTATAATTTATGTGTTTCAACTATTTTTGATTGAATATTTTTTTTAAAAAATACTGCATCCACTATTTTATCTTTTTATTTCTTTCAAACATTTACTGTTTTAATAATTTTGCATGTTCGAAGCAACTCCCTAGTGTGTAGCACATTTAATTATTATTTATATTGTTTTTTTCTTCTTCCACATCCACTTATTTTTACCTTCTTTGTTTTCTCCCTTCATTATTTACTGACATTGCACCTAATCAGATACGAACATTAGTCCCATAATGCATCATCCAACCAACAAGAATGAGTCCAATTCCCTTTGTAGGACTTGGATCTCTTCCATCATCATGCGTCTTTGACGACCGACGACGAGAGTTACGTCCGAACCGATGACGACGACGACGGATGTAATACGGACTGGGAAGAGGCGATGAGACGTTGGGTGAACCGTTAAGAATTATTTCTTCTCCTTCCATCTGGTTCATTAAAGTCATATCATTTGTGTTTGGAGAGGCAGCTAGCTGTTTCATCGAATTGTTTTATGTGCCATTTTTCGGTATATTCATTGAATGTATATTTGTTCATTTTTAGGTGAATGTTTTATTTTTTTTTATTTACGTTCATTTTATTGTATTTGATAATGGTATTTTTATTTGTGGAGCAGATTTATTTATAGAATTTTTTAAGAAATAAAACTTTTAAGATAAATATCCATTGTTTTAATAAGATTTTTAATTAAATTACTAAACAATGGTGCAACTTTTGGTTTTACTAAACAATGGTTATAACTTTTCTTCTTCTGTTGAATTTTATGAACTATGTTTGCCTGCATTTTAAAACCATGTCCCTAACTATTAATTATAATTCCTGTTTTGTAACCAGTTTGGTTAAAAAGTTTTTATGGGCAGTGGCGCTTTTATACCCATCCAATCTTCAGGGAGCCTATCAGCTTGAGGAAAAATAAATGCCAATACTTTTTTTTGCAAAATTCATTCTAATTCTTTAAAGTTTTTAAGAAATAGGAATTTATAATACAAATTTTTATAAAATTCTGATTTTTTTTTTATACTCTAACTGTGCTTCATGCAATTTTTGGATTTAAGTATTTTTTTAATATCTAGTCTTTTTTATCCTTTAATAATATTTTCTATTTCTGTTTAACACACTGAGTGCCGCACATATTTTTAAGGATATCACCTTTTGGCTATTTGTAACAGCTTAGAAATGCTTGTATTGTGGTGATGCAAACTGCTAACAATTTGAAATGAATAAAAATTTGATTTGTAGTAAATGACAATTAAGTAAATTTTTAATGCATTTTCAGTAATTGCTTCAAACAATGTAAGTTTTTTTAGTTTTGCATGAAAGTTTTCACTGTCCGCCACTGATAACTGGTGTGGCACTTAACGTGCAAATGACCTCTATTTATTATCATATGTGATAACTACGATTATAAAATAACAGTTACATTTTAATTTTATTTGCAATCATTAAACAACAATAGCAGTTGTTTTCTTAGGAAAAAATAAATCTAAAGTTCTTTGCTTTCTTCTGTTTTTTAAAATTTCTTCTAATTCTTCAAACAGTGTGATGTTAGGGGAATTTCAATTGCAATGAATTAAAAATAAATGTTTTTAAGTGATTTCATTTGTTTTTTTAATGAGTACTTAAAAGTGAGAGATATGTTATAAAGAAGTGCTTTATTCAAGAGTTATAGAAAAGTCAAATTACAGGCTATTTATTTTTGGCAAAATAAAACTCTTCTTGTTTTAATTTAGTTGATGTTAAGTTATATAGTTAATTTGGAAGTCACTTTGAATGAATTAATATTTAGTATTTATCCGAACAGTTTACCTTGAACTGAGATTGAAGTAGAAATCCTCTTGCTTTTCAAATAAACAAAATTGGTTATACTCCGTGTGTTTCTATGGTACATGGAAAAATTTATAACAAACATGCCAAGGTGCTTTAAATTTAGAAGGTTAAAAAGATGATTATTTCATAAATTTTGCTTAAAATATTAAAATGTGTAGAATAATTTTTTAGTATAAAATAAATAAGTTACATTGAATTATTAAAATCATTTTTATTTTTAAAAAAGTTCTATATAAATGCTCAAATTTATGCTGTTGTGAATCATGTATCTTTTAACCTATTCTTTATTTTGCAAAACGAAAACTAAAGATAGTCAGTTTTGTACTAAAGAAAGTCTTTGATGTCAAAGCTGTTAACCTATAAAGCTAATTGTGTTTAATGTAGGGTTTGTAAATACAGTATACATCAAGTTTATGTTAAACACATGAATTTTAAAATTAGGTGCTTAATTAACACGTTTTTTTTTCCTCCGTGAAATTCTGTATTTATTAGTATAATGCTTGATTTTTTGTGGATTGGCTAAGTAATTGTCTTTTGGTTTATTTAAGATATGGCTTTAGATATACTAGTGTTCCTAACTTTTAAAATGTTAATTTTTATCTGTTTTTAATGTTAAATAAAGCTATTTTTTTTAATCTGTACTTAAAGGAAGTCAAACGAGAAGTATTTTATATGAAATGTGAATGTGGTCTTCTGTTAAGATAATTAATTTAACTATGCAATAATTGTATTATAATATCTTTCATGTGGTGTTTGATGAATGTATCTTTTTTAAATGTTTTTTTAGTTAGTGTTAGTTTGCTTAACAAAAAAACAAAACAAAAAGAACCACTTAAAATTTTTTTCTTAAATGATAATTTTTAATAAGTAACTTTGAATCAAAATTACTTTTCATAAGTACCATTCCTAGCTGGATTCAAGCTAGAAGAAATAATTTGTGTCAGTATAAAGGATTTTCAGAATTATAATAAATTTCCTCTCCTTATAATTTTTTGCTTAATGTTAAAATTTTGCATTCTAAACTAATAAATTGATTCTAAATTATTTTCTATTAAAAGTCTAATCTTTTAAATGAATAAATGTACTCAGATTTATGTAAATGAAATTTAATATGCAAGGTGTTCTATTAAATCAATTGATATTTATTTTTTAGAATCCATGCTAAAAATGTAATCTAAAAATACTGACAGTATTTAATATTCAGCTTCTTCATCCCTTATCCCCAAATAAATTAAAAATGATTACAGATAGTTTAATAGACCAAACAATTTCAGCAAGGATTGAAATTTTTATGTATTAATGGATTTTTTTTTATGTATTAATAAATTCTATTTAAAATTTAATTGAGGTTTTCTGGTCTTGCTATAAGTAAGTTTTTATACTTATATTTACATCAAATTATTACTTTTTGCTTTGCAATATCTTTATTTAACTTTCGTTACACTTAAAATATTAAAAAAGTAAGTTCCTCTGCTTTTCAATTTTTAAGCTTGAAAATTATTGAAACACGAATTTCTTGGTTGATTTTTTTAGGGTGAAATGTGGGAGCTTTAACTGCAAGAATATTTTTGTACAAATTTCTCCAAATAGTATAACAATTAAAATGTTAAAAACAATAAACAAAATTCTATTAAAATATTTATAATGATTTTTTTTCGTAAAAATTTTATAAATTTGATATAATTGATTACATACTATTTTGAATTATAAACAGAAATTAAATACTCATTCTAATAAGAGAATTTCATAATCTAAAAGAAAGAATATGTATATACATTTTGGAAACCGAATTCTTCTTCTTTGCCTGCTCCCTGTCAGAAAGGATTCCTTGAAGTGAAGCTCTTTTCGATATTCTTTATAAGTGGGCGCCAGTGTTGTGAGTGGAAAATTCTATCATATCATAAATGTAGTTGTGTTGTGACATCAAAGTGTTCATGTACTTACAAGTGTAGTGTTTATAGTACTGTTATAGTCTGTACGGTGTGCAACGATATTGACATCTTTTCTGATTTATGTGTGTGCCATTGTCAAAGACGCATGATCCTATGCATTTTTTTTTTATATATATAAAACTTTTCGTTTGTATTAAATCTAATCAGAAAGAAGAGAGAGAAATGTTTGAATACAGAATTATTATTTCAAGTTTATTGTATTATAAAATGTTTATTTCTTATTTAAAGAGTTTGATGTATGTATTTCAGCAAGAGAGGGCAATAATTTTTAATAAGATACAGATTTGGACTAAATGTTTAAATTGGAATTAGTTTGTTGTAGAAAGTTCAATAACTTAATCGAATTCCTATCATTAACTTTTCACTTTACATCTTCTTGGTTAAACTCCTCTATACTAGCTCTATCTCCAGTGGCAGCTTAATACCCGCTTCGTTTCAGATAAATGAGTACCATCTAGTCTGATAGATAAAAGCAGCTGGTGCGTAATGCTGATCACATTCCCACGATCATAAAATTCAAAATTGTGGAACCTTTAATGTTCATGATCCTTTTAATGAAAAACTGGCTACTGCAGATCTGCTTTACTTTTACTACGATGTTCCACTTTTGAGACCGTGATGGCTCAGGGAATAGAGGGTTCGCATCCCAGCGATGGCTGCTCGATACCAATTCCGCACCCGTGTTGCACCAGCCGCAGTGCTGACGTGAAATATCCTCAGTGGTCATGAGTTATAGTCCCCTTGCAATCAGGCTAACTGTGATAATTTCTTGTCGTCATTGTAACACAAATGCGGGTAGTTCCATCAAAAAGTCCTCCACCCAATACTTGATCCAGGAGTTCCCTTGTCTTCTGGATTAGGTTCAAAATTACAAGATTACGCAGTTGAACATTAGTAGTCGTAAACACGTAATTGGGTCGGTTGTTCGACAACGGTTGTAAAATAAAATAAAATGTTCCACTTTTACAGAAAATAATGGAGGAAAAGTATGTTGTTAGAAAGCCATAGTAGCTTTTTCGATAAGCGTCTCATAGTCTTCGATGATCAATTGCCTTTTTAAATGGCTATTTCTGCGATGCACCAGGATAGAATGCTTGTTTCCAAAATAAGTTTGCCTGGTTTGAATATCGGCGATGGTCGATAATGAACACATGAAGTGTATTCCTCTCAATTTGATTTCGAGTTATAGTTTTTATTTATACCCAGGTTTGCTTTTTATCCGGAAGAAAGTGAAAAAATCAGAACAAACTGGACAAATACTGAATATTGATATAGCAATTAGTATTATAGGAATAACTAAAATTTAAACAAATTAATTTATCATAATTCCAAAAAAAATCCGTTTTCACATATACTCTTTTAAGTAAATAACTATTTACAAATTATTTATTTTAGTTATATACAGATTTTTAACAAATTAATTTATTATAATACCAAAATAATTAAGTTTTTCACATGCACTCTTTAAAATAAATAACTGCATTAGAGTCCTGATTATCCGAGCTAATGTGGACCAAGACTTACTCGGATTACGGAAAAACTCGGTTAAAGCGAAGAGTATAAAAAGGGAAGAAAAAGAGTAGGTACAAATGTAATATATTTGATAAATACAAAATTTAAACAAGTGCACCACATACAATTCATATTATAATTCAAGAAATTTTCTTAAAAAAGTCCTTAATCATTTTCTGTTTTATGCTTTGGCGCTTTTCTGCAGTATTGTTTTGCCATTTTTTTAGGGATAGCAGAAAGACTGCTGTTGCCTCTTCTTCTTGTTCTATATATTCAATAGCACTTTCGATAGCTTTTAGTCCATCTGTATGAGAAAGTTTTGTATGTTGATTTTCATTGTCTCTGTCTTCATCATCTTCGCTATATTATTGATCGGTATTAACGATCATTTCATCGGAACAAGATGTTGGATTTCATTTTCTTGAGTGTTTGGAAGATAAAATTCAGATTTTTTTTTCAGCAGTAGTTTTAAAAATAAACAAAAGTAAACTAGATTTTAAAAAAAAAACTTAAAATATTTGGTAGCTCAAGTTAAAGCGGATAGTCGGGACTCTGCTATATTTATTTATGTTATTTTAACAGTTAAAGAATTAAAAAATTAAATTTTATTATACTCATTTACGTAAAATATTAAGGAACTACGATTATTTTAATTTCTTGATAAATTCATTAAATCTACTTTTCTATTGTTTCTTTTTCGTTTTAGCTTATTTAAAAATTGATGCCTCAAGTAGCTTTGAAATGAATACTATAATTAAAACTAGATTGCTGTTATAAACTGTTTAAAAAATAGTTTTTATGTACGATATTTCTTTTTGAATAAAAATTTCTTCCAATTGTATTGGAAGAAACATATTTCTTCTGGCGCAAATTTTTTGCAGTTTTTCCAACTGTTGAAGAAGTTTGTCGTCCCTGTTCACACCTTTTACTTTAATTGCCAGTTCTTAAAGAAAAGAACAATTTATGTCGAAAGTTAAAAAAGAGAAATATACAACAAATGGAAAAATTGCGACTATCAATAAGCTATTTTATTTATCTCTCTTGTTGAAATACTTTATGCATAAATATTTATTTTGATGAATTTTTATTGTTACATATTTTAAACTGGGAATTTACTTTTTCCTGTAAGATAAACATAAATACTAGTAAACACATATTTTCCACACTATTAATTTGTTACATCTGTTTACTTTCTTTTTCTCACATTTCATTAGGCTGATTTTTTTTATTATTAGTATTCGCACACTGCCTTCACCGTAGATAATGACCAAGCACATTGTCTATTTTTACATTCCCTACTTAACCAATGTGCACATTTTTTATGAGCACTGTTGAAATATGAAGTTTGTTATTTACATAAGCAGGAATAGTAGAAGAAAAAGATAGTAGATTGTTAATGTTTTATCAAGAAGACGAAGACCTCTGTATTTCTATCAATTTGTTGGATACTTAAAAATGACATAGTTAGAAGTTTCTTATTGGTAATTTTAAGGAAAAAAATTATCTGATTTTAACCTATATTTTAGATAATATAAAAATTAGCTTTAATTTAATTAAATTATGTTTGTTTTTATCAAGCATTCATTAAAATAGGTTTTTACTGCTATTTTTTTTCCTTGTACCAAAATATGAATAAAAATGTTTTTATTTTATTTTTTATTATTTATTTATGTTATGTTTATCATCGGAAGAATATTCATAGTTATAATAAGACATAAATCGATGACAGCCGATTAACAGATAAATAATTCTTTTCTCACTTCGCTGCGAAACCACGCAATTTTGGTGCATTCTTTGGAAGAAAAAAAATTTTCTCTTCCTACATTCTCTTAAAAATTTTTTTTTTAAAAATAAGTCACTAAACTTATTTTAGGGGATATTTTTTTAAACTTACATGTCAACACTGATTATTTATTTACTACCATTTTCATTATGGCTGTGGCTTCTAACAAACTAACCTCCATAACGAAATTAGAGTTTGGTTAATGACGCAAGCAGAAGGCATATTTTTTTCGTGTTTATTTATTCTGCCTTAAGGATATATTAAAAATATTATAATGTTTTATAAATGTATGATATTTGGCTTCTATAGAACGCAAATAAAATGCAAACTGTGCCTTTTTTTGTTATTTTTAACCAAAAAAATAAATGGATTAAAATAACTTCATTTTAAATAATAGTTGAGGAGAATGAGCATAACCTAATTAAGTTACATTAATAAAATACTCATTTGATCCTCTATGTAGATAAATTAGTTTTCTTCAATAAATTAAATCTTGTAACCGTGTTGTGTAATCGTAATCTTAAGTTTAAAAGAAATAAGTTTACTGAAAATTAAAGAAATAATATAGTTTAAAAAATTTTAATAAAAGAAAAAAGTTTAAAAGTTTTTTTCTTGAAATTTGTTGCTCTTGTTTCTTTGGAGAAAATGCAAAATTCTGGCGCTAAAGTAATTCGGTTTAATTGAGGTTTTTGTTTCCTACCAAATTATAACTTCTTTTTTTTATCTTCATTACAAAAGGAGAAAGAAAAGCCTGTAATGCTTAAAAAAATATATAATTTTTCTTTAGAACATAAAAATAAACAAATAGAAACTGCGTTGAAACTGATTTCTGAGGTTATTGTGCTAGAAAATCGCCTTCCCCCAAACTTATCATTTGTGGCAAAATTCAAAAAATGTATCGTACCCTTAAAGCCTCTCTTTATATCGTTTATTGGTAAATCAATTTAAAAATTCAAGTTTAATACGAAATCTGCCATAATTAACTCAGCAAGGTTTTTCTTTTATAAAAACTTTGCCAACTTATGCACACAAAACTTAAAATAAAATTTAAAATCCACTAATCACTTTAGTATAAAAATGAAGAAATGCATGTAACTTTTTAATTGGGTACTTGCAACCACATGGTTGGGCCTAGAGCCCCTAAATTAGACAGGCCGACTTATCTATTTTTGGAGCAAAAAGCTACCATAAGCACAATACTAACATAACGTTAACTTGCGTGCTTGTTTGCTCCAATATTGCTTGATAGGTCAGCTCTGATAGTATAGGAGCCTTAGTTGGGCCTAATCACGGCGTGACGTCGCTTGCAATCATTTTATTTTATAATTTCTAATATAATTATTTTATAATATCGTCTGCCTGATGTCTTTTTTTTTAAATTAATAATAGAAAAAACATCGTTTGCATTCTTTTGAGTTGAAGAGAAGTTTTAAAATCATGGCCTTTTGGGAATGAGATCTATATTAATTTTTATTTTGATATTGTATCAAAATTCTTGAAAATTTCTTACTTTTTAGAAATTTTTCACTTATTTATTATAACCATAATTAATTTTTCAAAAAAAAAAAAGCTTTACTAATGACAATAAATGGAATAGCTCAAGGCATGAAATTCCAGTTCTAAGCGTATTAAAATTTTTACTCGCCACTATTTATACGGAAAATGCGAACACTTTTTAAAATTTTAATAAATATAGTTTAAATAACTTTTTGGTGGCCACGAGAATGTAGAAAATGAGAACTGTAAAATAGCTCAAAATGTTATAACCTGGGGCAAACTGGTTGAACACTTGCTTACTTCTACAACATCTGACTTCATATCAGTGGCGCGAACTTCAACTTGAATTCTGCCCGCTCTGGTAACACAAGTTTTACTTCCTCGGGGGAAAAAAAGAGATATTGAGTTAAATAGTTTCTTTATATTCTCTTTTCAATTTTTTAAGGGGTCAAAAAACATAATAAGGTGTGAACACATCTGGTGACATAGATTTCAATCTTTACGTGATCTATATTTTTGCGCATGTTCATATCTATATTATGCACCTGTTAATATTCTCCTTTTTAAAGTTTGAAACTCTTGCTTTCCATTTTTAACTATATTGTTTACAGCAAACTGCGCGAGAAATATGGTAGCTTGAAGCGCAATATTTTACAAGAATTAACTTACTCGCTAGCTCTAAATATTTTGTCGCCAGCTGGCATTTGGAAATTTCGCACTTTGGATAGCTGTTATAAATTTTACCAATGCTATTTCTATTACTAATTAAATTTTATGTATTTAAAGCTACTAGTTCAAAATTAGTTGACGAAAAACCTTTTGTTGATTATAACAAACTACTTTTTTATTTTATTTTTTTACCAATTTATTTTTTATCTGTTAGAGATTTAACTAAGTCGTAGAACAAAAATATATCTATACTTTATATATGTATTATTATTTATCTTGTAAATGAAACGTTTGTAAAATATTGCAACAGTTGTTTCAAAAACTTATGGTGCTTTAATATTTTAATAAGTTTAAAAGATTTATTTATGTCTTAATGAAAATTACCAATAAGGAACCAGAAATCTAACATGTAAACTGATGCAAGTTCAAACGAATTTTTGTAATTTTCAATTGTTGATACTTTGTAGGGTTCAAAATGTAAGGAAATGTTTGCTCACTTCAACTTTTAGTTCAGGTTGTAGATACATTTAACCGGATAAGAAATTATATATTCTTGTGAAATGTATATTATTTGTAAATTTCGTTTGTTTAACGGGGCGGGACACTCTTTCATGTTGACATTCTATCTAGTAAATACTGAATTTGTTGAAAAACTCTTTGTATACTCCCTATTTTGTGAAGAGTATTTCAATCAAATTTGTAGATTTTAATGTTACCAGTTTAAAGGAATTCAAAATAAAAGATAACCTAGTCTTTGCATAAATACTTGTCTATTGATTTATGTGTTTTGTTACTTATTGACGTCAGGATATAACTTTAAAATCGCAAAGAAAAAAATTTGATCAAAACTTAAAATTTAGTGCGGAAATTCTGGAAAGAACATTTTCCAAAGCGTATATGAGCTGAAACTCATAGAAATGGATAAAAAGAACACACTGGGGTATTAAAGGAAAATCTTATCAATGAATATTTTGTAAAATTCTTTAATATTCCCCCATAGACTTTTCCTTAGGATTGCTAATGCCGTGAGTAGACGCCCATTTCTGTACGTCGTATGCTAGGTCTAGAATTTTTTTCTCACTAAGCTATTAAGATTACAAGCATCGTACATTAAAATCATGCATCGATTGAATTCTCGCTAAATTCAATTGGCATTTTCATTTTCACAAAACATTGATTTTCGTACTTGCGAACACTAGTAGGTAACTAACTCTTCAAAATATTCATAACTTAAGAACTTAATATCATGTTAATAACATTAATATAGTCGGCATTTATATAGTTTCCGCTGCACATAGGATTTATTAAATTTGAAATGAACTTTTTCATCCTTATTACAAAGATTTTCTAAGCAACAATATGTAAGCGTTGTTGTTGTTTGTAATGACAGTTGGACAAGTCAAGCTCGCCAACCATTTGCCTTTTGCGAATTAAGTCAGAAAGATGCGCCTTTCGTCGGAAAAGAGAGCACCGCAAGGGTGAATGGCTCAGAACCCCGCGGATAGATGGTAACACTACTCATTTGTAAGGCAACTTCTGCAATTTAGACATATATCTGAAGGAAAAATAAATTTTCTCTAGATATTCAGGTTGCTCAGTGACCAACCTGGGAACTTTCACAGATTTTACGAGCACTTATATCGCATGTGTTCGGTTCGCCTATCACGTCTGTGTTCGGTACGAGAGGAGTATCGAACCCCTATCCCTTCGCACCGGGGTTCGATGCTCTAAGCACTCTATTGCATGGGCTACTACGACTGAGCAGCTTAGCGTATGAAGAGGGAAAATTCACTGCAATTTTCTTTCTGGAAACGTTTAATTGTTCATTTTTTAAGAAGAAAAAGGAACATTCATTGTGGTAAAAATCAAATTTATAAATTTGAATATATTTATTCATTAATATGATATACATGAATATATTCATTGATTGCAATTTATTTAATAAAGCTGTCGATATTTTTTTCCTTGTAGAAAACAAAAAAAAAGGGAGGGAGAATGAATGGATAAGAGAAAACGATGATTTGTAAACATTAAATTCGCATAAAAACACGCTTATCTCTGAGGAATTTTTTCTCTGTTTAAAATACAATCGATACTGAAGCTTTAAAAAAAAATACCATTTTTATTCAATCTAGATTTAACAAAACGATGATTAAGAAAACATTTTTGAGCTTCTCCTTTTTTCCACTCTTGATAAATGCTTGGAAGGAACACAATTTAAAGCACTGAGTAAATGCTTTTTATTCGTGCTCCCATTAATAAAACTGCCGCCCCGCTGGACCTTGAGAAGCATGCATGACAAATGATCCCTCTATTCCCCTCTTAGAACTCCTTAATGATTGGCTGCAAAAATAACTTTTCCCTTCCATAATGAAAAGATCAAAATCGATATTTTGACTGCTATCACTCAATAAATGGACCAAATGAGGCGTTTACGTTGGAAGACAGGATTATGGTATAACCCTCACGCTGGCTCTCTTCGAAATGTTTTTTTTTTTTTTTTTTTAGAGATTGCCCAATACTAAAATGAGGTTTGATAAATGATAGTAATCGAGGTTTTGTTGTGTGGATATTTTTTTTAAACTAAAATATCTGAGTGATTGGTTAGTTGGCGTATAATGGAAATTTTAAACGATGTCATATTTTCGATTTGTTCATTTGCTAACTTAGGAATGAATGATTTAATTAATTTGGAAAAGGAAAATGACAAGATACTTTGTTTCGAGATTTGCTAGGGATTTAATAGTTCGCATTTGAACTGAAAGAGGTTTATATTGGCCTCTCAAGAAATTCTTTCTTTATAATTATTAGACCTAGAAACGTGTAGGGATGGGAAATCGCTATGACCTCTCAAAAATTTTCCTTTTTTTTTTCTTCTGGAAATCTCAAAGAAAATTAGTCAATATTATAACATTTTTATAAAATTTTTCTCTATTTCTGAATACCAACTAGCTAGTTTCATCAGAAATTAAAAGATAAGAAGCCAAATGGATCATTTTTAAAAAACTCCCCGAGTTCAATACCCTCTCCCTTTTTTATGTAAAAGAAAAAATTCAAAAAATTTCACAATGAATAGGTAAATACAGTTTGGTTAATTTAGGCGAATGTTGCACAGGGTTGAAAAAACAATCCACTTAATTAATACAGAAACGTATCTTAATTTTTGAATACATAAAAATACTACGACTGCGTAAACGACACTATGTTTAATAATTTACTTGTGAAGTATGTTAAACCCTCTTTGATTATCTCTGCACTAAAAAAAAGTTACAGCCGCCATCACCTCTATTTCAGAAAATTTTCTGACATGAAATCATAAATGAATGTTCTAATATTAAGATTTAATAAATATGGCTTTTTCACGTTATTTCATATAAAAATATGTTAAAACTATTTGCTGAACATACAAAATACAGCCCTAAAATAAGTTATAGTCCAAAAAATGTCTTAATATACCTTACTTTAGTGTTAGGAAAGAACAATTTTTGTGAAATGATTCTAAAAACAGCATGGTTTTGGCACATTTATGCATTTGCTTTTCATTACACGAGAAAAATGAAAAGAAAAAAAAATAATAATTTATCTTCAGTTTAGAAAAAATAGTATGCTAAGTGAATAAAAAATATAGTTAAATAGTAGGTCAAATAGTCCTGCGAAACACGCGCGGCAAGGTAATTAAATAATTTATTTTATGATAAAGAAGTTTAAAGACGATTTATAGCATGTTGAAAATTTTTAAGATGTTTAAAAATGTTGGCATGTATTCCGCAACTCTCTTTGTTGTGACGTGGAATATAAAAATACAATTTCACATAAACATCGTTGATATTACAATTTTATTCAAGAAAATATAAAGATACTTTTTATAAAACTTTTATTTTCATTAAGTTGTAATTGCTTGATAATTATAAAATATATATGGAATAAATTGACAAATCACTGCATACGTATGTATATTATTGGAATTGTGTCAATTATTCAATGAACCTGCTAAAAATAAAATTTAAAAAGAAAAGCAGATGCATAATCACATTTTATCAGAAACATGCTTTTATAAAACTCAACATTCGATGAACATAATGATTTATTGAAATCTCTTTGCTAAATTACAAATAAATTATTAGATGACTTAAAAAGAAACATCATATTCCGTAATTAAAAATAATTTAACAATTGCCTATCAGCGGAAAAAATATTAATGAAATTTTAAGCTACGCGTGCCTCGTCAAGTCAAGTTCCTCGTTAAGTTAACCACATTCGCCCAGTTTAAATATTTCTACAATGTCGCCAAATTTTCTTTTTCAAAAATAATTAATTTTAATTTTTTACACCTTCTACTATATAAAAATAGTTGAATCTTAAGATTTTCCAATAGAAAAATACATAGAGTTATGTGGTATAAAAAATTTATACCTCATAATTCAAATTTTTTTCATCCGCAATTAAATTAAATAATAATAAATAATTGTTAAAAATTATTGTTTGCATGAAATGGGTTAATGGATTTTATGCGTGGGTGCAATTTTTTTTTTTAAATTGCTGAATTAGTTTTAAAGATAAGACTAAAAACGCAAAAAGTAGAGTTAACATTAAGAGGATCAAATTTTCTTCCGCTTTCCTGGCTGAACTATTAAGGCTACAATTTCCAGACTGCGGCTACCCACAATAATTTGGTTTTAGATTAATTGATGATTTAATTATCTTTAATTTTCAAGATTATACTATTTTATTAAATAATGTTTACCCCGAGGAATTAATCTTGCTTCGTAANTCAAGATTATACTATTTTATTAAATAATGTTTACCCCGAGGAATTAATATTGCTTCGTAATCATGATGATAATATTAAGTTCAATTTTTTGGATTTGGGTATTATAAAAGAAGATAATATCTGCTTTGTTGATTTATAGGATAAAAGAAATGATTTCAATTTTAATATAAATAAACTAATTACTTGGAATTCTAATGTTTCTAGAAACATCTATTTGAATACTACTTTTAATGAAATGAATAGAATTAAAAGAATATGTAGTAATATTTATTCATCCAAAAAAATAATCGATAAACTCTTTCAAAATTTGATAAAAAAAACAATGGATACCCAGCAAAAGTAATTAAATTCTATCTAAAATCATTGAGTTAATCGGATATTAATGTAGATATATTTACTAAAAATTTTCTTCGTTAATTTATATAATTTTTCCATGTGCAAATTCATTTCGGGCAAATCCGTGGCTAAAATTATGAGCAAAACAAGCAGTTCGACTTTTTTCCTTTTCTATTTTCTATTCTTTCTCTTAAATAAATATTTGTTTTCTAAAATTATTTACTCTAAAATTTTAAATTATTCAGTATAATATTACCTTGCGCACATCCATTTTCGGGCCAATCCTTGGTAACTAACAAATCTAACGCACTTCAGTAATGCAGGAAGAACGCACTTTAATATAAAATTCCTCTTGTTACGCTTTTATCTCAATTTGCGCTTTTGTTTTCATTTTTTGCAATCTGGCAATCTTGTTAAGAAAATATTTTAAATCATTCTTGAAAAATTTCCCGTTCATGTAAGTTCATTTGAATTCGCTACTCGCTTTACAGTTTTCATTTCATGTTTTATTCTGTTTTTTCTTTATATTTTCTGTTTTTACGTGATATTTTTACTTATTGTGTTATACGTTATTTTACCTTTTTGTGTTCTATTTTATTTGTTGTAATTTTTTTGTAAAATTTTTTGAGTGCTCCTCACACTATTCTATTAATATA